GAGGAGTGACCACTTACATTACTACTCATGCCCGAGTGAAGATAACTCTCGGATGGAGTGTAGTGTACGTCCAGAATATATGGATTGGAAACATTGGAGAAGGTGTGGATGTTCTGCTAGGCATGAACTTTATGCAATCAGCAGGTGTCCGACTCTGCATACGAGAAGGCTTAGTCAAGCTGCCAGACGAAGAGACTGTGGTGATGTATGATAATGATCCCAAGTCCCGAGATATGGATCTCCTGTGTGCCCAGAGGAAAGCATACACCTGCGCCCTGGCCAGGATGTTATTGTACGAATTCGGTATGGCCAGTCCAATCCCCAACGTGAGTTGGTGTGGGCTGGGAGAGGAAAAAAACTGGGTGACCAAGGTTCTGTACTCTACTAGATCCTGGGCGACTGCCGTCAAGGTGGTTAATGTTTCAGACCAAATGTTTGGATCGACACTAGGACTCCGGTTGCGCGTATTGTGGAGTATGAACAATTCCCAGGACAACCTGGATTCGTCCGTCCTGGTAAAGCGCAGTATGAAGAATGGCAAAAATTAATCCATGAGTGTACCGCGTCGCGCCAAGCAAGGATGCGTGCGGAACGGCTAGAGCAGATTCTCAGGGAAAGGGAGCCCCCGTGTACCCAGACTCAGAGATATCAGTGGCCTACCAAGCTCCTGATGCGCCCACAGTCTCAAGTCGCTGAAGCGAAGATGGTAAAGTTGCAAGAAAGGCTGAAATCATAGGACGTGACGCTCAAGATCATTGGGAATTCCACGGTTGTCGGGTCGCGAGAGACTCCGAGGAGCCTGAGACCCGTCCTGAGCCGGTAGAACAGACCCATCCTGACTCGAGATCCGAAGTTGAGACTCTGGATCCAGAGAGTATGACAGATGTCGAGGATGATGCTCAGGTCTCTGAACCGTCAGTGGATGGCCAGTCGCAGACGAGCTGTTCAACACCAGTTCAAAGACTGGAGGCACATATGCTCGGGTAATACGAGTCTCTGCTGAAGAACTGAATCTAGAGCCCGCTGTGCATCTCAGGGAAGGAAGTGATTTGATGGAGCAGTTAAGAGACCAACTTATCATGCTCCCAGAAATTGAGGAACTGACCCCTGAGTGCAACATCGACGAAGCTAATGTCGGGGTTCCGGGAGTCACAACTCCAGGGATGGAAGCCAAGATGAGAGGGATCCTGAAACGCCATCGCAGTTCCTGGGAGACGGCAATGCAGCTCCAGCCCCGGCTAGGGGCGTAGTGTGTGATATCGACGTTGGTGAAGCAAAACCAGTGGCTTTACGCGCGAGGCAGATTGCCGCACCGTTTTTTGGTGAAGGTGTTCGAACATAAAGAAGTTGCTGGAGGCTGAGCTCATTGAGCATTCAGAGTCCGAGTGGTCATCTCCTATTGTGATTGTGCTGAAGAAAAACGGCATAGACATTCGGATGTGTATTGAGTACCGGCTTCTGAATTTGCTCATCAAGCTATCCCGCTATCCTCTACCCCTGATCGATG